CTATCAAATATTTTGAATGCTTCATCGAACGTTTTTCTCAATAAACTAATTGATGATAGGATTAATTCAGAATCATTCTGTTCTTGTGATTTTGCTTGTTGATTAGTGATTGTTGATAATGATATCGTACTATTGTTATTAGTGATCTGTTGTTTTAAAACAATAAGTGCATATTTATTGAGATTATTTAATATGATATACGTTCCATTTCGTTTTGTTTCTACAATAAACGATATTTTATCCCCTAAGCTTGATTTCAATTGATTCTTTATTGTTGTTGTTCGTATCATATGATCGGTTAATTTATGGTTTCTTTTATTTATTACTGTCAGGTACATTTCTTTTACCTCTTCAAATGATAGTATGTAATTTTCATTTAAACGTTCTAATATCGATGAACTTAATTCATTAAATGATGTTTGAACGTCATCGGAATAAACACTATCATTCGTTGTAGCATCATTAGTTGGTGTATGGCTACGCGGTCTTAAATGGTATTCCTTCGATACCGGCCATAACGTTTCTATCTGCTTTTGATTCTGCAGTAAACAAATAAAACCTAAGCTTATCTTTCAATTTGAGAAGCTTAAAGAATAGCAGTCAATAAAGTGAACTTTTTCTTCAATAATTCTCACGCAACAGTATTAGGCCAGTATTTTTCGAGATACTCTACACCTTTTTCTGTTTTATTTGCAATAAAATACAAGTATGGTCAGCTTTTTTCACTCATTTTCAAAGAATCGTTGCAATAAAGCTAGGAACTAATTTCAAATTCGAAATAGATGATCTAGTAGAACAAAAATTTCTCTACAAAATGAGAAATGTCTCGATTCTGAAAGCTGATTAGTTATGAAAATACAGTTATTTTACAAGGAGCCCAAAAAGTCGATTTTGGGGCTATTTGAAAAAGGGTTTTGAAAGAGTGAAGACGATTGAGCAAATATTCTTAAAGCATACCACTTTGTAGAGAATTGTTTGCTCCACAAGATATGAGAGTTCTTAAAGTTGTAAACTGTCTTAATTAATCTTCATTAATAAAAGAAAAACAAAGAAAATGGTAACGCACTCACATTTTTGGCCATTTTTCGTGATTGCATTACCATTTTCTTTGTTTTTCTTTTATTAATGAAGATTAATTAAGACAGTTTACAACTTTAAGAACTCTCATATCTTGTGGAGCAAACAATTCTCTACAAAGTGGTATGCTTTAAGAATATTTGCTCAATCGTCTTCACTCTTTCAAAACCCTTTTTCAAATAGCCCCAAAATCGACTTTTTGGGCTCCTTGTAAAATAACTGTATTTTCATAACTAATCAGCTTTCAGAATCGAGACATTTCTCATTTTGTAGAGAAATTTTTGTTCTACTAGATCATCTATTTCGAATTTGAAATTAGTTCCTAGCTTTATTGCAACGATTCTTTGAAAATGAGTGAAAAAACGGGACCGTTAGCTAGACAAGCCGTTTACATATTTTTCTTGGAGATTAGCTGAATATGAATCAAAATCAAAACAAGATAAACTTGCTGAAATTATTGACAAATTTACGGCTTCAATCAAAAAAATTTAAAAAAAAGGTTGATCGAATACAAAACAAAGATTCAAGTCTTCATTATAAGGAATTCTATGAATTTGAAAAGATTTTTAATCTTCAAGCACACGAAAGTCAACTACAAGGAGAAATGAATAATTTCCAAGAATCGAACTTTTTAATGAAATTTGCTTCATTTCCATCATGAATAGCTTCAGTAGGATGTCTAAAAGGCAGTGCTGTACATTAATGAAACCTGGCTTTCTAATAGCATACGATTATACGATGA